GGGAAGCTATGGGGCGCGGGGGTGGGCGCTTCGGGGTGTGTGTGTGTGATCCCCCCTCCCGCCCCAAACCTGTGAGCCCTCGGTGTCACCTGCCACCCCCCGGTGCCAGCAGGGGCGGGGAAGGGCTGTCACCTCCCTGGCCGGGCAGGGCGGCTGGTCCCGGGGCGGGGAGGGAGCTGTGATGTTGTCACCTGCCTGGTCCCCATCTCTGGGTTTCGGCGTCCCTCCGAGCAGCCGTTCCCCAGGGCGGAGGGGTAGCGAGGGCCGTTCCCCCGCAGTTGCTACCCCGGGGGGGATCTGAGTTTGGGATGGGGCGGACAGCAGCATACCCAGCCCCCTCCTCGCTGTGCCACCGCTTGGTCCCCGAGGGGACACCTGAGCCCGGCCGTGTGGGCCCTGGTCCTCCATTATTCATAAAGTAACCGGAGCCTGCAGGCAGCGCAGGCAGCTGCCAGCTCGAGTTACAGCCCTGCGGGCGGGAGGGGACACACACCCCCGGGCCGAACCGGGGGTGTCCCGGGTGCTTCCAGCCCTGGCAGGCCCGGGCCCGGTGACGTGGAAAGAAAGGGTGTGCCCAGCTGGCACGGCCTTGCACCGCGCCGCGGGGGGGACACTTCACCCTCCTCCCGGGCCATACCGGGGTGCGTGAGGCACCCAGGGAAGCGCAGTGGGCCCCGAGGCCGCTCCTAGGGGGGTGCTGAGCCCCGGTTTTGTGCCCAGTGGGGGGTGTGGAGCCCCCTCCGAAGCGGTGTTGCCAGCTTTGGCCCTGTTCCGGTGCTGGCGCTGCCCAGCCCCCTTGTCAAAACCGACTGGGGCTGGAGTTGACGCCCTATTAATAGCCCTGTCTGCAGGGTGGGGAATGCCAGGCCCCCTCCGGGGCCCCCCCAAAAGCTCAGGGCCTGCCCAGACTGGACTACGGAGCATCTCTTGCCTCTAGCCTCACCGTGTTTCCACCCTCTCCTGCCTCCCTGCACAGATCCAAGGCAGAGATGCGACACACCTGCCGTGGCACCATCAACCTAGCCACGGCCAACATCACGGTGGAGGATTCCTGCAACTTTATCATCTCCAATGGCGGGGCCCAGACCTACCACCTGAAGGCCAGCTCCGAGGTGGAACGGCAACGCTGGGTCACCGCCCTCGAGCTGGCCAAGGCTAAAGCTGTCAAAATGCTGGAGGAGTCAGGTACGGCCCTTGCAGCCAGTGTGTGTTTCTTCAGGCCCCTGCTACACCCGCTCCTCAAGCCCAGGGGCTTTTTTGTCCCCCCCGCCCCAGAACATGACCCCATATCCCCTCCCTTTTCCCAAACACCTTTGGCCAGAAATACCACTGGCTTTTCCCCGTCCATCTCCCCTGCCCCACTGGGGTGCTGTGCAGGGACAGTGTTGCAGCACATAACTGGGGGTGCTGGCAGCTGCTCCCCGAGCTGGGTTTGGAAAGGGGTTGTCCCTGTGTGAGCTCGGTGGCGCTGTCCTGCCTGCTGCAGCCGTGCCAGCTTCCCTGCTGCCCTGCTCGAGGAGCCTCCAGCAGCCTGGCACGCGCTTCCTGGCTAGTGTGACTACTCGTGTGCCAAGAGGTCGGCCATCTGCTCCGAGCTGTCGTTCCCTGCCACGATATTACTGTCCAGGATGCTGTGCCAGTGGCCAGGAGCGCACGCCCCGTCTGTGGCTCCCAGTCTTCAGGGATTTTGGGGGCAGGGGGGCAGTTTTCTGCAGCAGCCCCGTGGTCAGAGCCCGGTGCGACTCAGAGGGCTGGTGTTTCTCCTTCTTCCCCATCAACAAGAGGCCTCCTGAGGCCACATTAACACCCTTCCCGCTGACAGATGACTCTGGCGACGAGTCGGTGTCGCAGACAGACAAGACAGAGCTGCAGAACACGCTACGCACCCTCTCCAGCAAAGTGGAGGATCTGAGCACCTGCAACGACCTCATCGCCAAGCATGGCACGGCCCTGCAGCGCTCCCTCAGCGAGCTGGAGACCCTCCGGCTACCAGCCGAGAGCACCGAGAAGATCAAACAGGTCAATGAACGAGCTACCCTCTTCCGCATCACCTCCAACGCCATGATCAACGTGAGTCTGCTCCCCGCGGGGCATATTGGGGAGGGGGC